TCGCCATGCCTGCTACTGGGCCTCAGAGATCAAGAAGCCCCGATGTGACTGCTCCTAGATCTCTGAGGTCAGGGGGCCCACCATTATTGCTTCTTGGTATTTGAGGTTAGGAGGCCTTACCATGACTGCTTCTGTGCCTATAACGTTGCTATGACTGCTCTGTCTCCTTGTCAGCTGTGCATAAACATTCATGTGATAAATAAATCCAAGATGTCTTCTGAGGTCAGGTTGCCTTGCCATGACTACTACTGGACCTTCAAGGTCAGGTGCCTGCCATGGCTGCTCCTAGATCTCTAAGGTCAAGGGGATGTGTCATTCCTGCTCCACAGCCTCTGAGATCAGGGGTCCCTTTTATGACAGCTCCTGGGCCTCTGAAGTCAGTGAGCCCTGCTATAACTACTCATGGGCCTCTTAGATCAGGGAGGACTCACTGCATCTGTCCTGGGCCTCTGGGATAAGAGGGTCCTGCCATCACAGTTTCTGGGCCAATGAGGCCAGTGGGCCCTGATATAACTACTCCTGGGGCTCTTAGATCAGGGAGCACCTATAATGTTTGCTCCTGGGCCTTTGAAGTCAGAGGGCTCAGCCGTGACTACTCCTGGGCCTCTGAAATCAGTGGGCCTTGCCGTAACTGCTCCTGGGGCTTGGAGATCAGGGAGGGCCCACCATGTCTGTTTCTGAGCCTCTAAGATCAGAGGGCCTATAAGGTCAGGTCATGATTGCCACTAAATCCCTGAAGTCAGAGGTCCCTACCATGACTGCTGATGGGCCACTGATGTAAGGGACCCCCTACGGCTGCTCTTTCTCCTTACCAGTTGCTTATAGACATCAAAGGTAAGTTATGACTGAAACCAAGAGGTCTGAGGTGCGCTCCGTCACGTCTGCTCCTGGGTCTCTGAGATCTGAAGTCTGCGCTATGACTGCTTCTTGGCCTCTGAGGTCAGTGAGCCCTGCCATAACTACTCCTGAGGCTCTGAAATCAGAGAGGACCCACCATGTCTGCTCCTGGACCTCTGAAATTAGGGAGAACTGCCATGATTGTCACTGAATCCCTGAGGTCAGGGTGCCCTGCTAATACTTCCCATCATCCTCTGAAACGTGAATCTAAGGTGGACCCTCACCTTCATATATTGACCTAAATGTTATAATAGGTCAAATAGCACATTTTCCCCTTCAGCTGGGGGCCACCATAATCCTCTCACTGGTCCTGGCTTTCCTCTTTTATCCACTGATTTTTGGGGTCTGTCAGGGACCCCTGAGGAAGTCACTTGACTCGTTACGAGAGCTGGAGAGTCAGTAGTGCAGCGTTCCGCTGAGTGTTTGCGGTCCAAGCCACTTCTAATTGTTTGTCATGCGATGTTCTTCTGGGATAATGTGAGTCAATACTTTTAATAAAAACTGTGGTTTTAATAATACTGCGTTATGAAGGCGTTTATGTGGTTTAAGTTTGATCTACAGAGCTCAGTATGGTTGACATAGTGAAGGCATTAAAGATACAGACACCCCTAAAATCGATGGATAAAAGAGGAAAGCCAGGACCAGTGAGAGGATTATGGTCGCCCCAACTGAAGGGGAAAACGTGCTATTTGACCTATTATAACATTTAGGTCAATATATGAAGGTTTATTCTGTTGTATTGTTTTTGAAATGTGATGAACACACATTTTAGTGTCTGCAGCAGCTCTGGCACTTAACACATATATTATTTAGATTAGAGGCAGTGCACAATTAATATTCATTATTTTTGTACTCTACCATGACTGCTACTTGGCCTTTGAAGCCTTTGGAGTCAGTGGGCTCCTCCGTGACTTCTGGACCTATGGGTTTAGGGAGCGCTGCCATGATTGCCACTGAATCCCTGAAGTCAGGGGGCCCTACCATAGGCCCTACCATATCTGCTCCTGGACCTATAAGGTCAGGGAGCCCTAACATGACTGCTCCTGGACCACTGATGTTAGAGCCCCACTATGGCTGTTCTACCCATTTACCACCTGCATATAGACAACAACCGTAAGTGATGAATGAAATCAAGAAGTCCCCTAAGGTCAATGAGCCGTCCCATGACTGCTCCTGGACCTCTGATATCAGTGGGCCCTGCCATGACTGTTCCTGGACCTCTGATATCAGGGGGCCTGCCATGAATGCTCCTTGACCTCTGATCTGGTGAAACCCAGCCATGACTGTTCCTGGGCTCTGAGGTCACTGGGCCCCGTCATGACTGCTCCTGGACCTCTGATATCAGGGGGCCTGCCATGAATGCTCCTTGACCTCTGATCTGGTGAAACCCAGCCATGACTGTTCCTGGGCCTCTGAGGTCACTGGGCCCCGTCATGACTGCTCCTGGACCTCTGATATCAGGGGGCCCTGCCATGAATGCTCCTTGACCTCTGATCTGGTGGAACCCAGCCATGACTGTTCCTGGGCCTCTGAGGTCACTGGGCCTCGTCATGACTGCTCCTGGACCTCTGATATCAGGGGGTCGTGCCATGAATTATTATTATACAGGATTTATGGCGCCAACAGTTTGCTCAGCGCTTTACAATATAACGGGAGACAATACAGCAGCAGCAATACAGTTCAATACAAGAGGGATAGGAGGGCCTGATCCTTGGAGCTTACAATCTAGGAGCTCCTTGACCTCTGATCTGGTGGAACCCCGCCATCACTGCACCTGGACCTCTGATAGCAGGGGGCCCCAACATCATTGCTCCTGGACCTCTGATATGAGGGAGCCTCGCCATGACTGCAGGACCTCTGATAGCAGGGGGCCCCGTCATGATTGCTTCTGGACCTCTGATAGCAGGAAGCCTCACCATTATTGCTCCTAAGCCACTAAGGTCAGTGGGCCACTCCATGACTGTTCCCTGACCTCTGCTATCAGGGGGCCCCGCCATGACTGCTCTTGGGCCTCTGAGGTCCAGAGGCCTGTCAGTACTAAGCCTCCTCGCCATCTTGGTGCTGATATTTTGCTCTATACACTGGCAATTTTTATTCACTGCTGATGATCGGCCAGCGATGATCATCACACACACAGTTGCACGTGGCGGCAACCGATCACACAAATTTGGAGCAATTAATGGTTACTACAGGCAACACTCCATTGTTCCTTATGTATAGCCACCCCCAGCAATCAGAACTGAGGGGGCACCACAGGCGATAATCGCTGTTTCTAAAGTCGCTCATGTGCGCCCAACCTAAAATGATCCTTTTATTTCTTTGATGTGTCCCGGTTTCCACCGACACAGAGATTATTATGCAACCTGATGATGGCACAGGGCCCTTTGTATGCATGGTAATGGTTTCCTTCCCTCATGTACATTCCTGGGATATCTCAGGTCCCCAGCACACTATCTTCCATCACTGAACACAGGAGGAGACCAGGAGGAGCACAGGACTCCTCCCTTTGTTTATAACACTCCAGGACCCGCCTATAGGTAGGACAAGTCCTCCTGTTTCCTAGCAACACTAAAGATAGGTGACGTCACCTCCCCATCCCGCTCTCCCTCCCAAAGTTCACGCCCACCTTTCTTAGAACCAATGGGTGAAAGCTAATCTGCATGTGGCCGGGAGAGGCAGAATCGGAAACATCAAGTCTGAGATAAATGTTCATTTTTAAACTATAAACAGATTTTCTGATTTCTATACAATGGAGGAGAGATGTCTCTTGTGTACAATAATGTGCTTTTACTTTAGCAGTCAGAAGATTCGCATCGCCATGAGTTGCGGGAACGGCGCGGACGGTGTCACCCTGGACCGGAAAAGACGTACCTTTAGTATTATAGCTCTTTTGCTATTTGTCTAGAAGGTTCCTGACTCTCAGGAGCCGCCAATGGAGAGTGAATGATAGATTAATGTTGTTAGTAAATTGTTTCAGAATTATTGAGAATCTTCTGTTTTCGTTTTCAGCTGTCATGTTCAGCCATGGAAGATTTTATTGTACGGACGGGAGGCTTCCGCTACTTTCTTTACACAGGAAGTGGCGAATAGCCTGTAGTTGCAAACTCTGACCACCTGAGGGCGCTCTCCGCCGTACTGGATACCGGCCTGTAGTTGCACACTCTGACCACCAGAGGGCGCTCTAAGCCATAGTGGAGATCCGCCTGTAGTTGCACACTTTAGCCACTGGAGGGCGCTCACCGTTGACTGAATACCGGCCTGTAGTTGCATACTCTGACCACCTGAGGGCACACATAGTGGAGATCCTATCCGCCGTAGTGGATACCGGCCTGTAGTTGCATACTCTGACCACATGAGGGCGCTCTAAAGCCATAGTAGAGATCCGCCTGTAGTTGCACACTTTAGCCACTGGAGGGCGCTCCCCGCCGTACGTAATACAGGCCTGTGGTTGTACACTCTGACCACCAGAGGGCGCTCCCGCCGTACTGAATACCCACCTGTAGCTGCACACTCTGACCACCAGAGGGCGCTCCTCGCCGTAAGGAATAACCGCCTGTAGTTGCACAGTCTGACCACCAGAGGGCGCTCCCCGCCGTACGGAATAACCGCCTGTAGTTGCACACTCTTACCACCAGAGGACGCTCTCTGGCCGTACTGGATACCTGCCTGTAGTTGCACACTCTGACCACCTAAGGGCGCTCTCCGCATGTAGTGGATACCCGTCTGTAGTTACATACTCTGGCTACCAGAGGGCGCTCCCCATTGGGTCTGTAGTTGCACACTCTGACCACCTGAGGGCGCTCTCCGCCGTAGTGGATGCTCGCCTGTAGTTGCATGCTCTGGCCACCATGGGGCGCTAAGACATAGCGGATACAGGCCTATAGTTGCACACTCTGGCCACCAGAGGGCGCATTCTGTCTTAGTGGATACCGGCCTGTAGTTGCACCCTCCATCCACCAGAGGGCGATCTCCCCTGTATTACTCCCGGCACAGGCAGCCATAGAGAGGAGCGCTGTGTACAATCTGTGCTCGGTGATGTGAGGGGGGGGGGACCGCTGACTGTAGACCGACAATATACAGAGAGGAGGAGAGGGGGGGCCATCATGTCCAGCCTGCAGAGACCCGCTCCCCCCGCCCAAACCGTCACCCTAAGCCTGGAGCAGGTAAAAGGTGAGTGACCCCCACCATCCCCCCCGTACATCTATTTCCGGTGTCTCCTCCCCGGGCCGCGGCAGTACAGAGCTCCCATTGTATAATATACCTGTGTGTACTACCCCTCCCCATCTATGTATGTATACCACCCATCCCTCCATCTATGTTTACATGTACTGGCCCTTGTTGTAGGTTTCTAGGACACAGTTGGCCCCTGCTCTAGGTGTCTATGTTGCTCGGACATAGGCAGCCCCCGCTGTGGGTTGCCAGGTGGCAGGATGTCCCCCCCCGCTGTGGGTTGCCAGGTGGCAGGACGTCCCCCCGCTGTGGATTTCCAGGTCACAGGACGTTCCCCGCTGTGGGTTGCTAGGTGGCAGGACGTCCCCCGCTGTGGGTTTCAAGGTTGGAGGATGTCCCCCCACTGTGGGTTGCCAGGTCGGAGGACGTCCCCCGCTGTGGGTTGCCAGGTCGGAGGACGTCCCCCGCTGTGGGTTGCCAGGTCGCAGGACGTCCCCCCGCTGTGGGTTGCCAGGTCGCAGGACGTCCCCCGCTGAGGGTTGCCAGGTCGCAGGACGTCCCCCCGCTGTGGGTTGCCAGGTCGCAGGACGTCCCCCGCTGTGGGTTGCCAGGTCGCAGGACGTCCCCCCGCTGTGGGTTGCCAGGTCGCAGGACGTCCCCCCGCTGTGGGTTGCCAGGTCGCAGGACGTCCCCCCCGCTGTGGGTTGCCAGGTCGCAGGACGTCCCCCCCGCTGTGGGTTGCCAGGTCGCAGAACGTCCCCCCCCGCTGTGGGTTGCCAGGTCGCAGGACGTCCCCCCCGCTGTGGGTTGCCAGGTCGCAGGACGTCCCCCCCGCTGTGGGTTGCCAGGTCGCAGGACGTCCCCCCCGCTGTGGGTTGCCAGGTCGCAGGACGTCCCCCCCGCTGTGGGTTGCCAGGTCGCAGGACGTCCCCCCCGCTGTGGTTGCCAGGTCGCAGGACGTCCCCCCCGCTGTGGGTTGCCAGGTCGCAGGATGTCCCCCCCCGCTGTGGGTTGCCAGGTCACAGGACGGCCCCCTGCTGTGGGTTGCCAGGTCGCAGGAGATGCTTGCTTCCTAGCAACCAAGGACCAGGCCTACCACTGAAAACCTATCATGAAACAAGAATGTACGGACATGGAATAATCCTGCCTAGATGGGTATACACACGATTGAGGTCACATGACTACTAGGATGCCCCCTGGGCAGGCTTTGTGGGTGGTCACACCTCAGGTTAGACATGTCGGTTACCCCGGGTCCCACAGAATACCTTTCCTTCCTTCCATTATCACAGACACAATGCTGGGCAGATCCGTCCATATAAAGGGTGACTCTTCTTCTCTTTCAGAGGCGTTGGGGGAAGTGCTCGACGCTCTGCAGTCCCCCACAGGCAGCGCACGCTTGGAGGAGGCCAGAGAGAACTCTGGGAATGACCTGGGGAAAGTTCTGCAGCTTCTGCTCCCGGCCGCCGTCCAGATCCAGCAGGAAGTCCTCCAGAACTACGGCTTCAGCCCGGATGGAGAGGGTGAGCCTGGCTATTGGGGGAGGGGCTACGAACCTAAACTTTGTACCATGTCACATGATGAGGTCATGGATCAGATTTCCTGCTACCCTTCACTTTCCTATATTATGATGTCTGATCAGCCGGTGGTGTCATCACTAGGTCTCTGTGCTTCTCTATGAAATGTAGGCAGATCATGGCTAGTGGGAAGGGCTGGCAGGGTGCTGTACACAGCTTCCTGAAAACATCACAGCACCCTTTCTCAGTACTCCTTTGGGGAATGACATTAGAGACCCTTCCTCTCACTTCCTGTTGTGTTTTCAGGACAGGATGTGAAGGAATATCTCCTCTGGGCGGAGATAGCAGCTGTCCGGGGGGGTCAGTGATGTAGTCGGGGGACTAGATAGAAGGACCCTGAGCTGGGGGTGGGAGGGTATAAAAAAAAAAAAAGTGTTACATTGGAGGGATTTCCTCTCACTTCCTGTTGTATTTTCGGGACAGGAAGTGAAGGAAAATCTCCTCTGGGCGGAGATAGCAGCTTTCGGGGAGGGGGGGGGGGAGTTGGTGATGTAGCCGGGGGGCTAAGTATAAGGACCCTGAGCTGGGGGTGGGAGGGTGAATAAATGTGAGCTTCTACTTGAAGCTGAACTCTAGGTAGATACAGGTGATGGAAAGAAAAAAAAAAGTGTTACATTGGAGAGATTTCCTCTCGCTTCTTGTTGTTTTCAGGACAGGAAGTGAAATAAAATCTCCCCAATAGGGCACATACAGAAAACAAAAAACTAATTCCTCATTCTTGTGGCTGGGGAGGGTAAAAATAGGTGGTTGAGCCACCTCCTGTAACCCTTTTGCTGCCACTGATGTCTGTAGTACACTGGTGGCAGCCGAGGGTTTCACACGCACTCCTGGCAGCTGCAGCCTGTGTAAATCTGACAAGCCGGCTGTCATTTGGAAGCCATCCGTTGGCTGTTACCTCAGTAACTGGACGATCTGCACTCCATCCATTGTAGAACCTCGGATGTCTCCTTTAAAGAGAACCTGTCACCAGAAATATCATCACATAGAGAACGACTTGTCCCCGTGATGAAAAAGTGACATCCAAGCACTTCAAGCCCCCCCCCCCCCCCAAAAAAAATTTTGAATCCCTCCATGTCCACAAACACATACAAACGTAAATGCACTCATCGGGAGCACCTACACACGAGTTGCAGTACACACGTTGCGTCACCACACACGCAGGGGTGAGAACGATCGTTCTCGGCCCGTCAGTCGCAGTTACGTCTGAGCTGATGACCTGTAGGGGGCTTCTGAAGCGTCACCTATGGAAAACATGGGGTCCCGAAGTCTGTCGCCGTTTCCCGGGCGCGCGCTATTTTAAGGTTTGGCACGTTTGGTATTTATTTACTCGGCACAACCTCATCTTTTATCATTTACCCAAAACATTCAGGTCGTTTATTTACAGCGCATCCAGAAAGTATTCCCAGAGCTTCACTTTCCCACATTGATTCCAGATTGGATTAACCACTTCCCGTCCGGTCCATGTACATAAACGGCCGGACAGGAGCAGTGCAGGAGCGGGTTGTCGTTCATAAACAGGCTGTGCGCGCTCCCTGGGAGCGCGGCACCACGATCCGATCGCTGTGCAGGACTTCTGTGTGAGGTCCCGATCATATGATCACTGATTGGCCAATCGGTGATCACATGAATAGTAGTAAGCAAGATGTCACTTACTGACATCATTGCTTATTACGTGTGAAATCTGTGAATGATCACAGAGATCACATGATACAGAGCTATTCACAACATCCTTGTACCATGTGACAAGCTGTGACCAATCACAGCTCGCACAGTATTTCTCAATGGCTGCAAGGATGCAGCCAGAGAGGAGAAATTATTGTTTTTACTGCCTTTATGGGTGTAAAAGCAATCAGTGTAAAAAAAGAAAAAAAAAATCTTCACCCCCCCAAAAGTAGTGCAGTGACACTGTACTGCTAGGGGGATGGTATGTTAAAAAAAAAAAAAAAAAGAAAAACATAATATAAAAATGTAAAAAAACATTTTGAAAAATTATAATTTTTGGTTATAAACTAATTTTGTTTTTTTTTTTTTTTACTAAAATGATAACTGAATAAATTTTGGCCAAGATTTATGAAGAAAGATTATTTGCAAAAAACACTTTTTTTAAAAAATTTTTGGACTTTGTCATTTATATAGCAAAAAATAAAAATCCCAGCGGTGAATAAATACCACCAAAATAAAGTGTTATCTGTCTTAAAAAAAATGCTAAAAAATTCATATGGGTACAGTGTCGCATGACCGCGCAATTGTCATTCAAAGTGTGATAGCGCTGAAAGCTAAAAAAGGCCTGGACTGGAAGGGGGTGAAAGTGTCCGGACTGGAAGGGGGTGAAAGTGTCCGGACTGGAAGGGGGTGAAAGTGTCCGGACTGGAAGGGGGTGAAAGTGTCCGGACTGGAAGGGGGTGAAAGCGTCCGGACTGGAAGGGGGTGAAAGTGTCCGGACTGGAAGGGGGTGAAAGTGTCCGGACTGGAAGGGGGTGAAAGCGTCCGGACTGGAAGGGGGTGATGAAAGCGTCCGGACTGGAAGGGGGTGAAAGTGTGTCCGGACTGGAAGGGGGTGAAAGGGGGGGAAGGGGGGAAAGTGTCCGGACTGGAAGGGGGGGAAGTGTCCGGACTGGAAGGGGGGGGAAAAGTGTCCGGACTGGAAGGGGGTGAAAGTGTCCGGACTGGAAGGGGGTGAAAGTGTCCGGACTGGAAGGGGGTGAAAGCGTCCGGACTGGAAGGGGGGGAAAGCGTCCGGACTGGAAGGGGGGGAAAGTGTCCGGACAGGAAGGGGGGTGAAAGTGTCCGGACTGGAAGGGGGTGAAAGTGTCCGGACAGGAAGGAGGAGTGAAAGTGTCCGGACAGGAAGGGGGTGAAAGAGTCCGGACTGGAAGTGGTTAAATTCGTCGTTTTTTTTCCCTCAACATTCTACAAACAATACCCCATAATGACAACATGAAAGAAGTTTATTTTGAAATCTTTGCAATTTATTAAAAATAACTAAAAAAAACCCCCCCCCCCATGTACATAAGTATTCCCAGCCTTTGCTCAATCCTTTGTTGAAGCCCCTTTCGCCCCCATTCCAGCCTCGAGTCGTTTGGAGTATGATGCTACAAGCCTGGACACCTATTTTTGGGCGATTTCTCCCATTCTTCTTTGCTGGACCTCTCCAGCTCCATCAGGTTGGATGGGGGGCGTCGGTGCACAGCCATTCTCAGATCTCTCCAGAGATGTTCAATTGGGTTCAAGTCTGGGCTCTGGCTGGGCCACTCCAGGACATTCCCAGAGTTGGCCCGTAGCCACTCCTTTGTGATGTGGGCTGTGTGCTTAGGGTCCTTGTCCTGTTGAAAGATGAACCGTCACCCCAGTCTAAGGTCCAGAGCGCTCTGGAACAGGTTTTCATCAAGGATGTCTCTGTACATTACTGCATTCATCTTTCCTTCGATCCTGACTAGTCTCCCAGTTCCACCGCATGATACTGCCACCACCATGCTTCACTGTAGGGATGGTATTGGCCAGGTGGTGAGCAGTGCCTGGTTTCCTCCAGACATGACGCTTGGCATTCAGGCCAAAGAGTTCAATCTTTGTTTCATCAGACCAGAGAGTTTTGTTTCTCGTGGTCTGAGAGTCCTTCAGGTGCCTTTTGGCAAACTCCAGGCGGGCTGCTATTTGCCATTTACTGAGGAATGGCTTTCGTCTGACCACTCTACCATACAGGCCTGATTGGTGGAGTGCTGCAGAGATGGTTGTTCTTCTGGAAGGTTCTCCCCTCTCCACAGAGAAACGCTGGAGCTCTTTCAGAGTAACCATTGGGTACTCTGTTTCCTCCCTGGCTAAGGCCCTGCTCCCTCGATCGCTCATTTTGGCCGGGTGGCCCGCTCTAGGAAGATTCCTGGTGGTTCCAAACTTCTTCCATTTACGGATGGTGGAGGCCACTGTGCTCATTGGGACCTTCAATGCTGCAGAAATGTTTCTGTACCCTTCCCCAGATCTGTGCCTTCATACAATCCCGTCTCAGAGGTGTATGGACAATTCCTTGGACTTCATGGCTTGGTTGGTGCTCTGACATGCACTGTTACCTGTGGGACCTTCTATGGACAGGTTTATGCCTTTCCATCATGTCCAATCCTGTCATGGACTCCAATCCACTGAATGTCCCACAGGTGGACTCCAACCCGCTGAATGTCCCACAGGTGGACTCCAACCCGCTGAATGAATGTCCCACACAGGTGGACTCCAACCCACTGAATGTCCCACAGGTGGACTCCAACCCGCTGAATGTCCCACAGGTGGACCCCAACCCACAGGTGGACTCCAACCCGAATGTCCCACAGGTGGACTCCAACCCGCTAAATGTCCCACAGGTGGACTCCAACCCGCTGAATGTCCCACAGGTGGACTCCAACCCGCTGAATGTCCCACAGGTGGACTCCAACCCGCTGAATGTCCCACAGGTGGACTCCAACCCGCTGAATGTCCCACAGGTGGACTAAACTGAATGTCCCACAGGTGGACTCAACTGAATGTCCCACAGGTGGACTCAACTGAATGTCCCACAGGTGGGCTCAACTGATTGTCCCACAGGTGGGCTCAACTGAATGTCCCACAGGTGGGCTCAACTGAATGTCCCACAGGTGGACTCCAATCCACTGAATGTCCCACAGGTGGACTCCAATCCACTGAATGTCCCACAGGTGGACTCCAATCCACTGAATGTCCCACAGGTGGACTCCAATCCACTGAATGTCCCACAGGTGGACTCCAATCCACTGAATGTCCCACAGGTGGACTCCAATCCACTGAATGTCCCACAGGTGGACAATCAAGTTGTGGAAACATCTCAAGGATGATCGGTGGGAACAGGATGCACCAGAGCTCAATTTTGAGTGTCATGGCAAAGGCTGTGAATACTTATGTACACGTGTGGGTTTTTTTTTTCTGTTTTTTATTTTTAATAAATTGCGAAGATTTCAAAACAAATTTCTTTCACGTTGTCATTATGGGGTACGGTTTGTAGAATGTTGAGGAAAAATGAATTGAATCCATTTTGGAATAAGGCTGTAACATAACAAAATGTAGCAAAAGTGAAGTTCTGGGAAGACTTTCTGGATGCACTGTATGTGCCCTAAAATTAAAAATGAAGCATTTTTACGAACATTTTGCGTTTTCACAAGCCGCCGTGCTAATATGGTATGACATAAAAAAGGTGGAACTGCCACTATTTTATTCTCCGTGGTCTCGGCTTTCAGAAAATATGTTTGGGGGGGGTTTTAATTAATCTTCAAGCCTAAATTTTTTTTTTTAACCTGTGTTTAAAGACGGCACTGGCAGTGAGAGGGTTAAGCGTCATGGCGGTCTGGCTGTACTCAAGTCTTTTTATGTCTCTCCTCTCCTAGGTGTCCTCCGATTCGCCCGTCTGGTAAAATCATTTGAGGCGCAGGACCCCGAGATCGCAGCCATGTCCAACAAACTGAAGTCCTTCTTCCTGCCCCCCTTACCTCTCCCCCCACATGCCGGGCTCCCTATGCCCTCCTCCTGAAACATTCCCCTCCCCCTTCCGTCAGCGGACATCTTCATCCCGCCACGGCCCGGTTCCCATCCTCTTCATCACAGGCCGGACGTTGTGTTACATTCACAATAAATGTCTTCTCATTTTCTAGTCATCACTGGTGGAGTTTACTTGTCTCTTGTAAGCGGCATGGAAATCCAGAGGGCATTCTAACCAATGACAACAGAGGCCCTCACCCCCGACCCTGGCCTCCCCTTCCGTCTTGCACAGGTGTATCGGCTCCTCCCCTTCCTTCTTACACAGGTGCACTGGCTCCTCCCCGTCTGTCTTGCACAGGTGTACCGGCTCCTCCCCGTCCCGTCTTGCACAGGTGTACCGGCTCCTCCCCGTCCGTCTTGCACAGGTGTACCGGCTCCTCCCCGTCCGTCTTGCACAGGTGTACCGGCTCCTCCCCGTCCGTCTTGCACAGGTGTACCGGCTCCTCCCCGTCCGTCTTGCACAGGTGTACCGGCTCCTCCCCGTCCGTCTTACACAGGTGTACCGGCTCCTCCCCGTCCGTCTTGCACAGGTGTACCGGCTCCTCCCCGTCCGTCTTGCACAGGTGTACCGGCTCCTCCCCGTCCGTCTTGCACAGGTGTACCGGCTCCTCCCCGTCCGTCCGTCTTGCACAGGTGTACCGGCTCCTCCCCGTCCGTCTTGCACAGGTGTACCGGCTCCTCCCCTTCCGTCTTGCACAGGTGTACCGGCTCCTCCCCTTCCGTCTTGCACAGGTGTACCGGCTCCTCCCCTTCCGTCTTGCACAGGTGTACCGGCTCCTCCCCTTCCGTCTTGCACAGGTGTACCGGCTCCTCCCCTTCCGTCTTGCACAGGTGTACCGGCTCCTCCCCTTCCGTCTTGCACAGGTGTACCGGCTCCTCCCCTTCCGTCTTGCACAGGTGTACCGGCTCCTCCCCTTCCGTCTTGCACAGGTGTACCGGCTCCTCCCCTTCCGTCTTGCACAGGTGTACCGGCTCCTCCCCTTCTGTCTTGCACAGGTGTACCGGCTCCTCCCCTTCTGTCTTGCTTAGGTGTACCGGCTCCTCCCCTTCTGTCTTGCACAGGTGTACCGGCTCCTCCCCTCCCGTCTTGCACAGGTGTACCGGCTCCTCCCCTTTCATCTTGCACAGTTGTGCCGGCTCCTCTCCTGGACTAAGATGGCTTACTCTGATTTCACTGCACACTGTGAGTTTCTCACAATGTGCATTAGAAGCTGCAGCAAGTCAGCGCCGGCCTCATTTTCTAGCTGGAGGACATCTATAATCATCTAGCTCTTTCCTTCCCAGCCTGGCTGTCCCTGGCTCCGCCCCTTTTCTTAATTGGATTATAGTTCTTTCAGTCAGAGGCTCAGCATCACATGTGGGCGCTACCTATGCAAATTAAGTCTAAGAACACACACTACTCCACACCCACCCATCAAGACATTTTGTTATTTGCATAAGTCCACCCAAGAGCCTGCCCACTACTTGCATCAGAACTCAGGGCTCCTGAGAGGAGTACTGAGGCAGGGCATTGTGATGTTTTCAGGAAGTTATGTACAACACTTTGCTAGCCCCTCCCACCAGCCATGATCTGCCCACATTGCATAGGGAAGCACAGAGACCCAGTGATAACATCACTGAAAGATGGTTTGTAATTAAACAGAAACGTTTTAATTAGCATGTTGATAAGGAGGGGGAGGGAGTAACCAGCGGAGACAAATTATCAGCGGATTAACTTCAGCTTTAAGACTTTTATTTGCTCATCTCATACATTGGTTGCTGGACCAGTGTTCCCTCCAGTGGTCATTGGGGAATGGGATCACCTTTCCCTGATTATAGACTGCTTTTTTTTTTTTTTTTTCTTTCAACTTTTTCGTGATGATCCTGCCAGTAACACATTTTCTGTTCTAGGGTGACCACGCTCACTCATCATTTGTATTTATGGAGAGAAGCAGCTTTGTCACCCTAGGGCCGGACGTGTGCTAGGACAACGGGACACCTCTCTATCTCTATAGTGTTGAATGTGGGGGGTGATTCACTTTATCTGGTCTTCACGGACCCTGCATTCACTATATCTGCTCTCCCCGGACCCCGCATTCACTATATCCGCTCTCCCCGGACCCCACATTCACTATATCCGCTTTCCCCCCGGACCCCGCATTCGCTATATCCGCTCTCCCCGGACCCCGCATTCACTATATCCGCTCTCCCCGGACCCCGCATTCACTATATCCGCTCTCCCTGGACCCCGCATTCGCTATATCCACTCTCCCCGGACCCCGCATTCACTATATCCGCTCTCCCCGGACCCCGCATTCACTATATCCGCTCTCCCCGGACCCTGCATTCACTATATCCGCTCTCCCCGGACTCTGCATTCACTATATCCGCTCTCCCAGGACCCTGCATTCACTATATCCGCTCTCCCCGGACCCAGCATTCACTATATCCGCTCTCCCCGGACCCTGCATTCACTATATCCGCTCTCCCCAGGACCCTGCATTCACTATATCCGCTCTCCCAGGACCCCGCATTCACTATATCCGCTCTCCCAGGACCCTGCATTCACTATATCCGCTCTCCCCGGACCCCGCATTTACTATATCCGCTCTCCCCGGACCCCGCATTCACTATATCCGCTCTCCCCGGACCCCGCATTCACTATATCCGCTCACCCCGGACCCCGCATTCACTATATCCGCTCTCCCCGGACCCCGCATTCACTATATCCGCTCTCCCCGGACCCCGCATTCACTATATCCGCTCTCCCCGGACCCCGCATTCACTATATCCGCTCTCCCCGGACCCCGCATTCACTATATCCGCTCTCCCCGGACCCCGCATTCACTATATCCGCTCTCCCCGGACCCTGCAATTCCTTTTCATTAGCATATAGGCACTAGTAATGTAATTTATTCATTAGTAAAACACAGTCAGTGTTTTTCTTTTTCATTATACTAGTGTATACTTTTTTAAAAAAAAAAAAACCGCTAGAGTACAGAGCCTGTCCACCTGCATAGCCGAAGGACGGCTACAGCGCGGTTGTGTAATCCTGGGACGACGTCCATGGACATCATTCCAGAATGCGCCCCCCCCCGCGACGCCGATGATCGCTGTGTCCTACAGACACAGCTGATCACGGGGTACGGAAAACAGCCAATCACGGTGGCCTTTTACCATGTGATCAGCTGTGTCCAGTGACACAGCGATCACCGGGTAAATGCAGTTGCAGGTTATGCTGTCACAGCGCGAGGAAAGTACTGCCGAGAACCGGCAATTGTCAGCGAAGGGATCAGTGCCCACCTGTGCCACCCACCTGTGTCCTACAGTGCCACCCACCTGTGCCTAGCAGTGCTGCCCATCAGTGCCGCCTATCAGTGCTGCCTATCCGTGCCACTTCATCAGTGCTGCCTATCCGTGCCACTTCATCAGTGCTGCCTATCCGTGCCACCTCATCAGTGCTTCCTATACGTGCCACCTCAGTGCCCATCAGTGCTGCCCATCAGTTCTGCCTATCAGTGCCGCCTATCAATGCCTCCTATCAGTGCTGCTATCCGTGCCACCTCATCAGTGCTGCCTAAACATGCCTATCAGTGCTCATCAGTACTGTTTATCAGTGCAGCCTCATCAAACACATCAGTGATGGAGAAAAATTACCTGTTTGCAAAATTTTATAATAGATACAAAGAAAAACTTTATTTCTTATAATTTTTTTGCTTTTTTTCTGTTTATAGCGCAAAAAATAAAACCCCCAGCAGCGATTAAATACCACCAAAAGAAAGCTCTATTTGTGTGAAAAAAATTGTAAACATTTCATACGGGTACAGTGTTGCATGACCGCGCAATTGTCATTCAAAGTGCAACACCTCTGAAAGTTGGAAATTGGCCTGGGCAGGAGGAGAGTAGAAGTGCTCGGTATGGAAGTGATTAAACGGTGAAAATCCTCATTCTTATGTATATAGATGGTTTTTTTAATTAGATTTTAATATTTGCAAAGTCTCCAGTGTAGGATCAGCAATCTGCTTTACCTAGAGATCTGTCGATATTATAAGCAAGTGACAAGCTAAAACAAGGCAAACCAAACCACTAAAAAACATTGAGAAACAACTAGAAGTCCTACAAAACCTACCTACGCGTTCTTTTGTACTGTGCAATGTACTCAGCAGGGGGCAGCGTTGCTCCCTCTGTTAAAGTAAGCACTCCTATTGGACGCTTTTCAGGTGTGACCTACAAGGGAGCTACCGTTTTGGCAACCTTTACTTGCCGTATTTATTAAAGCTCTACTCCAGGATTATTTCAACCCAGGAACAAAAATGTAATGTTGCAGCATACTGGTCTTTAGACTTGGTTGTCATTTTTGAGCCTTTTTTAACCACTTGCTGTCCGGGGAAATTTTTAAATTTTTCACACACGTTAAAATCGCCATTTTTTTTTTTTTTTGCTAGAAAATGACATAGAACCCCCCAAAAACATTTATTTTCTGAAAGCAGAGGCCAAATGGAGAATAAAATGGTGTCTGTTGCAATTTTTTTTTTATGTCGCATAATATTTGCTTAGCCATTTATCAAATGCAAATTTTCAGGAAAAGATACACGTACGTGAATTTTAGTGCACCCAAACGCAATATAATAACCAAATGTATTGATAAAATATAAATGATGATGTTGCGTCGAGTAAAGGGATATCAAACATGACAAGATTTTAAAATGCGCACGCCGGAGGAATGGCATCCAGCTACGGTATCCAAAATTGCCTATGGGTGAAGCTTCAAAGCCTTCACAGGTTATCAGTTCAGTGAATGATGGGCTAACAAGCCCCCTATGAGATCGCTTTACGCAGTGACAGGTCCCTTTTTAGAGATACAAGGGGTCCATTAGACCCCTGATTTCTCCCCTGCCCTCCAAAGCAGCTAACCAAGCACAGATTGTACTTGGTTAGCTGCAACAGCCTTTACAGGTTATCAGTTTTAGAGTTAATCATAAATTATGGACTAACAAGCCCCCTTGTGATAGCTTTGGGCAGTGAAAGGTCCCTTTATGGAAACATCAGTGGTCTATTAGACCCCTGATGTCTCCCCTGCCCTCTGAAGCAGCTAACCATCCACAGATTGTGCTTGGTTAGCTGCAACGGCCTTTACAGGTTATCAGTTTTAGAGATAATCGTAAATTATAAACTAACAAGCCCCCTTGTGATAGCTTTTGAGCAGTGAAAGGTCCCTTTACGGAAACATCAGTGGTATATTAGACCCCTGATGTCTCCCCTGCCCTCATGAGCAGCTAACCAAGCACAGATTGCACTTGGTAAGCTGCTTTGCTGTTTGTAACAGCCTTTACAGGTTATCAGTTTTAGAGGAAATCATGAATGATGGGCTAATAAGCCCCCTTGTGATAGCTTTGGAATGGACAGTGACAGGTCCCTTTATGGAGACATCAGAGGTCTATTAGACCCCTGATGTCTCCCCTGCCCTCTGAAGCAGCTAACCATCCACAGATTGTGCTTGGTTAGCTGCAACAGCCTTTACAGGTTATCAGTTTTAGAGTTAATCGTAAATTATAAACTAACAAGCCTCCTTGTGATAGCTTTTGAGCAGTGAAAGGTCCCTTTACGGAAACATCAGTGGTGTATTAGACCCCTGATGTCTCCCCTGCCCTCCGAAGCAGCTAACCATCCACAGATTGTGCTTGGTTAGCTGCAACAGCCTTTACAGGTTATCAGTTTTAGAGTTAATCATGAATTATGGACTAACAAGCCCCCTTGTGATAGCTTTGGTCAGTGAAATGTCCCTTTATGGAAACATCAGGGGTCTATTAGACCCCTGATTTCTCCCCTGCCCTCCGAAGCAGCTAATCAAGCATAGGTTAGCTTCTTCCCTGGCTGTAATAGCCTTTACAGGGTATCCGTTTTAGAGTTAATCGTGAATGATGGGCTAACAAGCCCCCTTGTGATAGCTTTGGTCAGTGAAATGTCCCTTTATGGAAACATCAGGGGTCTATTAGACCCCTGATTTCTCCCCTGCCCTCCGAAGCAGCTAATCAAGCATAGGTTAGCTTCTTCCCTGGCTGTAATAGCCTTTACAGGGTATCCGTTTTAGAGTTAATCGTGAATGATGGGCTAACGAGCCCCACTGTGATAGCTTTGAGCAGTGACCGGTCTCTTTTTTTTTTTTTTTTTTTTTGGAGACACCAGGAGTTTAATAGACCCCTGATGCATCCACTGCCCTTCAAA